GTATCCAGTGGCACAGTCCTGAGAGGGGTTCAGCTGCAAGCCAAATTTAGTCCAAGCCTTTACCCCTCCAGGACCACCTGTTAAGATTCAGCAGGCAATCCACAGATGCTGTGCTTATAGTTGCCTCAAAAGGCCACCCCAGAAACCAAAGCCAGCTGCCGCCAGTGTGAGTCTAGGCGCTGCTCAACAAGGAGCACCTGACTTGCTGAGGATATACGTGGATGTGGCTTGGGTGGGGCCACAAGTTGGGGAGGTGGAGTTTCAGGAAATCCTCAGGTCAGAGCGACCACTGTTATCCAGTTTGATGACCTCTCAGCTATGGAGGCACTGTGTCCGAGCACTGGGAGTGGGGAGGGCCTAACAAGGAACAATGGATACCGCCAGCACTTCTGTACAGAGCGAGTCTCACCTGGGCCCTCACTCCAACGTCTCTCTGTAAGTTCTTGGTGCCCACTTGCGTGCAGCCAAGTTGGCACTGGTGCTCAGAGTGAGCAGGTCTGTCACTACGAAAATCCTCTCACGGTCACAGCTCCTTTAAGAGGCTTCTGCAGCTGCCACAGCCTCCGTCTCACTCAGCTGCTCGAGACCGGGCAGCCCCATGTCCTCACCCTATGTGAATGACTTGTTCCTCTAAATCTCAGGTGATTTTTCCTTGCTGCTGCTCCTTGTTTCTGCAACTGCTTTGATTTGGTCGCCAGAGGGATGAGCAGAGCCTCTATCATCTATGCCATTTTTTTTCTCTCCTCTATTTTTACATTCTTGGTTTTAAAGTCTATTTTGTCTGATAGGAGTATTACTATCCAGTTTTTGTTTCTATTTGCATGTAATATCTTTTTTCCATCTGTATGCATCTTTGATTGGTAGTGAGTTTCTTGTAAGCAGCAGATGGATGGATCATGTTTTTTAATCCATTCAGGCACCCTATGTCTTTTTACTGGAACATTTAATCCATTTACATTTAAAGTAATTATTGATAATATGCACTTATTGCCATTTCGTTAATTATTTTTGGTTGTTTTTGTAGTTCTCCTCTAGTCCTTTCTTCTTGTTTTCTTCCCTGTGGTTTGCTGGGTTTCTTTAGTGTTTTGTTAGAGTTCCATTCTCTTATTCTTTGTATATTTTTGTAGAAGTATATTTTTTTTTAGTGGTTACCATGGATTTATGCATATTATTCTTTCTCTATAGCAGTCTAATTTAAGCTAATAGGCATTTAAGTTCAAGTATATTCTAAAAGGACATTTTTATTTCCTTCTCCACACTTTATGTCAATTTTAGATCTTTTTGTATTGGGTACCTCTTAACTACTTATTGTATTTTGAATTGCGTTTAATACATTTGTCTTTTGGCCATAATAGTGTTAAATGTCTGGTTCACTGTATTTATTAAATATTTGGCTTTACTTGTGAGAGTGTTTTTCCCTTTCTCATATTTTCTTACTTCTGGGTATGGTCTTTCCTTTTCTGATTAAAGAAGGCCCTTTAACATTTCTTGTAAAGCTGGTTTAATTATGATGAACTTTTTAGGTTTTGCTTGTCTGGGAAACTATCTTTCCTTCAATTCTGAATAATAATCTTGCTGGATAAATTATTTTAGGTTGTATTTTCCTTTCTTCAGTACTTTAAAGATGTCCTGCCACTTCCTTCTAGCCTGTAAAGTTGCTGCTGAGACATCATCTGATAGCCTTACTGGGTTTTCTTTGTATGTAACTAGTTGTTTATCTCTTGTTGCCTTCAAAATTGTCTCCGTCTTTAACTTTTGCCATTTTAATTACAATATGTCTGTATGTGGGTCTTTTGGGTTCATCTTGTTTCGAACTCTCTGCTTCCTAAATCTGAATATGTTTCCTTTCCAGATTTCTGTTTCTTTCTCTCTTTCTTCTCCCTCTGGATTCCCTATAATGTGAAGGTTTATACACCTGATGTTACCCCAGGAGTACCTTAAGCAATCTTCATTTTTTAATTTTTAAAAAATTTTGCTGTTGTGATTGCTTGTTTTCCAATAGTCTGTTTTCCAGTTCACTGATCCATTCTTCTGTGTTAGCTAATCTGCTTTGATTCTTTCTAGTGTATTTTTTCATGTCAAATATTGTATACTTCAAATCTGCTTGATTCTTTATTAGACTTTCTCTTTGTTGAAGTTCTCTCCTTAGATTCTTCTATTACAGTGCCAAGTTTGGTGAACATTCTTATGACTGTTTCTTTGAATTCTTTATCAGGGGAATTACTAATCTTTCTTTCATTAGGCTTTTTATTAAGTTTTTTCTTGTTCCTTCATTTGATTGATATTCTTCTCTTTTCATTTTGTTTGACTTTCTATGATATGAATTAGACAAAACAGCTATCTCCCCCAGTTTCGAAAAAATGGCCTAGTGTGGAAATGACCTCTGCATAAGCTGTGTGTGCCAGATGGTTTTGACAGTTCGACTGGCACCGAGCTGATAATTACAGCATCTGGGGGACTGGTTTTAAAACTGGAGTATCAGGGAGGACAGATATGTGTAGTAATGCCCTGTTGATCCTGCTTTCTTGCTTTCTTTATTTGGAGCTTAAATGGGCTAGGGTAATGTATCCAGGAACATGCTGTGATAAAGTTGGTATGGCAGAGCACCTGAATAGAGTACCCACCCACCCTATCAAGATGGAAGGAGTAGTATATAATGGCCCTCACTTATACCTTTGATACAAGAGAATTCCTAAAGTTCCCAGAGAGCTCTCATGGCTCCCCAGTCTTCTCTATATTGTCTTTTTCTCATATGTTGTGCAGAAAGTGATTTTGTATAGAAGCAACCACTTTGTAAGCTATGTATGCCAGGTGGTATTTGTAGGCCAGTTTGGGGCTGAGTGGGCACTGAGGGTTGCTAGGGTGCTCGACTGCTGGCCTGCAGCAGCTCCAGGCACTGAGACCCAGTGTGTGTGGTGATGCCTCGTTGATCCTGCTTACTCTCTTTATTCAAAGCTGAAATGGTTTCTGGGCAGTGTGACTAGAAACGCACTTTGGCAATCTTGCAGGTTGGCCAAAGCACTGGATAGAGGTCCCCTCTCCTCTGTCAAGGTAGAGAGGATATAACCAATGGTGCTCACTGGTGCCTCTGATACTGAAGAATTCCTACAGATCCTGGAAAGGTCCCACAGTATCCCAGATTTCTCTATTCGGTCTCTTTCTTTTCTTTGGTTTCAGAAGTTGTTCAATCATTTGTCAGTTGTCTCTCAGAAGTAATTGCTTTATATGTGTATATTTTATTGTGCTCATGGAGGATGTGAGTTAAACATCCTCCTATACCACTGCCATCCCAGACCTCTCCTCCAAGAAATATTACTTTCAGTGGAAATTTTCATCAACATACAAAAGTAAAAAGAATTATATAATGAACTTGAAGCATACATCACCTACGTTCAATAATATCCAACCCTGGCTGGTCTGGTTTTGCTGATATCCTCACCACTGATTATTTTGAAGCATATCTCAGATATCAAAGCATTTCTTTTATAAATATGTCAGTTTCTCTAAAAGACCAACTGGATCCTTGAAGATAGAGCTTGCCACCCATTCTTAAGCAATATTCCTTCCCCTTCCTTCTCTGTACTTTCTCTTGTTTACTAATGTCACAGCATATTTTTTACTCTCTAGAATTTATTGTCTTTATTATTATTTCATTGTCTATCTCTCTCTCAAATGCCTAAAATGTAAGGTCTTTGAGAGCAGAGACTCTGCCTGCCTTGTTCCCATTGAACACCAGAGCATCGCACAGTACCTGGGGCATAATATGTCCAGAAGAAGACAGAAGAGAAGCTGGTGTCTGCCAAAGTGTTAGCTCTACTTGCCAAGAGTAGGCAAAAGGGAAGATGGATGGATAGACATGTAAATCGACATTCTTTTTTTTTTTCAATTACAATTGACATATTATATTAGTTTCAGACATACAACATAGTTATTAGACATTTAAATATCTTACAAAGTGATTACCCCTGTACGTCTAGTACTTATCTGACACCATACAATTATTACAACATTATTGATCATATTTCTTATGCCATACTTTACATTCCCATGATTATTTTTATAACTGGCAATTTGTACTTCTTAATCTTTCACCTTTTTCATCAATCTCCCTAAATCCCCTCTCATCTGACAACTATCAATTTGTTCTCTGTATCTATAAATTTGTCTCCATTTTATTTGTTTATTTGTTTCTTTAGATTTCACGTATAAGTAAAATCATATGGTATTTGTCTTTCTCTGACTTATATCACTTAATATAATACCCTCTAGGTCCACACATGTTGTCACAAATTATAAGATTTCATTCATTGTTATTGCAGAATAATATTCCATTGTATATTTGTAACACATCTTCTTTATCCATTTATTATCAATGGACATTTAGGTTGCTTTTGTATCAGCTTTTGTAAATAATGCTGGAATGAACACAGGAGTGCACATACCTTTTCAAATGAGTGTTTTGAATTTCTTCAGATAAATACCCAGAAGTGGAATTGCTGGGTCATATGGTAGTTATATTTTTAATTTTTTGAGGAACTGTCATACTGTTTTACATAGTGACTGTACCAATTTACAATCCTGCCAACAATGCATAAGGGTTCACTTTTTTCAACTCTTGTCAACACTTGTTTGTTGATTTATTGATGATAGCCATTCAGACAAGTATGAAGTGATATCTCATTGTGATTTTAATTTGTATTTCCCTGATGGTTAGTGGTGTTGAGAATTTTTTTTTTATGTCTATTAGACATATGTATGTGCTCTTTGGAAGACTGTCTATTCTGATTCTCTGCCTTTTTTAAACTGGATTTTTTTTTTTTTTTGGTGCCTCCAATTTCTTAGTCATCACATCACGGGTGTGGGACCTACTCATTCCACATCTTCAATGTGGCTTCTTCTTTATATCCTTAGTTATAGGAATTGTGTTCAGCAAGACTTCAGGTGGTTCTCAGTGATGGTCGTCCTATAACCACTGATGTTCTTATGTGATTTTATTTCAGATAAACAAGCCACATCTGTGGAAGATACCAACATAAGATGTCCAGGAGTAAACGTAGACAATCCAGACCAGTAAGTGCCCAGCTCAGGGATTAGGCAAGTATTGTTGTTACCAGGAGGTGTCCAGAATGTGAGACACCATCTCTGCTGGGGAAGCACCTGTCTTTCTCCAGGAGAGCTCTGAGCATCCTCAGCAACCACCTTCATTGGTAGTTTCCTAAGGTGCTAAGGGATCTGCTGTGCCTGGCTCTGATGAGGAAGGTAGGATGTGAGAGATGATGTGTCCCAGGGATGGTACCTTTGTTCCTGGCAGCCTTTCAGAGCAAAGCCAGAAAAGTGGGAATGGTGATACTAAACATCCATCCCTGGTCACTTAGCTCATGGCCACACAAGCATCTAACCCATTCAGGGCTCCTCACTGCCTGGTCAGTCCTCCTTGTAGAAGTTGACCTTGTAATGTTTGGGGATGAGCTCTCCTTATCCATGCTGTCTGCTCTCTGGTGACCCCAATGCATGATGTTCAAAGTCATTACAATGAGGACAGCTGTGGGCTCTGTTTTGAGCCAAGTGTAAATACTGTGCTATTCTGGACTGGTGGTTATTGTCTGCCCTTTCTTGTTTAGGGAAGTCTTCGTGGAAGTTAGCCTGGACAATGGCGCCAGCTTCATCAATGACAATATTAGCATCATCAGTAAGGACTGTGTGAGTGTTGGGTGGGGCTTCAGCCTCCCTCCAGTGCTATACAGATTCTCTGCACTGAAGGGAAAGACAGCTTGTGGAGGCAGGAGAGGGGGAAAATGACCTCAGGAAGGTTCAGCAAGTAGTTTGTGCAGACAGCCACCTTGGATTTTAGCCCTTAATTAGGGAGTTGTGCCTCCATTCAGGCTTGGGAAGTATCCTGGGAGTGCAACTACAAGACTCCTAGGTCTAGCCAGCTGTCCAGGCCTAGCCGAATCAGTTTTCTCTGTAAACCAAGTGTCACTGAGGAAAGTGGAAGAACCAATTAGAGCTCTGAGCAGACTCCATTAAGGGTGCTGACACTTTGCACACACTGTCAGCCAACTTGCCACCTCCCATGGCCTGAATCTAATGTTGTGGAGTTCATGGTCCATCTGGATTCCAGCTGGATAGAGTGGGAGAGGCTGGGAGGATGTTTATTAGGACCAGAGTTTAGTACTTCTGGACCACCTGGACTTTCCAAATCTGGGTCCAGGCACAGAGGATGTGGAGTGTGACAAACCGTTGGCCTGCTCAGTCAGAGTGTGTTCCCACTGCATTGATGCAGCTGTTGAAAAGTTCTGAACCCACTCGTGATCATGATAATCTCTGGACCCTAAGCCTGCTTGGAGAACACGAGCTGTCATCTTACAGATATCATCAACCTCTCTTCTACCTCTCCTTCTTTCTCATGCTCCTCAGTGGTTTCTCTCTGCTAACTCTCTCTGAACTAACTCCATAGGAAGGTTTTCTCTTCTGTTGTTAGGGAAGCCTCAAGGCTGTGGGAGAGGCCAGGGATTCAGCCCAAGGAGGGGCACCTAAAATTAAGTTCTGTTCCCTTCGGTGCCTTCTGTTCAAAGCTTCACATCATCTGGGCCCCTTAGCCTAGGAGCATGATGTGTATGGCAGAGAACATTACGCTGGAGAAGAGGTGTGACTGGGAAGAGGTTTCATGTGCATAATTGCCACCACCCTTATGTCCAGTATCAGCTTGTGAGGGTTCAACAGTGCTGACAGGCCTCTATCTGTGTCTGTCTTCACTTATCCCTGGATATCCACTCAGGGATATCAGACTAAGCTGACATATTTGCCCATCAGAAGTCCCATCTTTCAACGAGCACATAGAGAATAACTCAGGAGTAGCCTGGTGGCTGCAGGCCTAGCACAGCAACCATCAGCCCTGACTTCACCTCTCCTTTTGGCTGCCCTGTCTCCTGGGCACAGGCTCTCTCATCCTTCCCCCTCAGGTTTCTCTGACAGCACAGCTCTGGGTTTAGGGGAGGGCTGTGCAGCATGTGGGTCCTCAGATGCCCTTGGTTATAAAAACAAGAAGACAATAGATTTCATTCCTTAAGCCCCCATATGGGCCTGTGCTAGGATTTTCTACAAACTCTCTCTAAACCTCACAAGTACCTGTTCATTTTCTCCTTACAGATAAAGAAACAGAGATATTTAGGGAGATTGAGTAGAGTTGCCCAAGTTTGCTGAGCCAATAAATAGTGAGAGAGATGATGAGGAAATGGAGCAGGATCTCCTGCCTCTGTTCTTGCAGCCCACATCTCAGTGGGCCTTAGCAGCACTCCCACACTCATCTTAGTAGCTGGCTTTTGTGGTCCTCACAAAACCCTTGTCTCGCCAGCTGAGGCCTTCAGTTAGAGTTGGCTTGTCACTTCACTGAGGACTCCAGACTTCCCTGACAGGGCTCTGGGGCAGAGCCTCTGATCAGGGTTGGTGGTGGTGTCTGTGGTCCATGGCTCCACAGTGGCTCTGGGTTCTGCCCATGTATCCCTAGCTCTGCTATGGCCCCTGCAGGTGAAGCTACCTGAAGTGACAGGTAGGGGTGTAGACAAGGTAGTTCATGGGAGATGCTGGGTGGTATTCGCCCAGGAAGAGACCACCTAGGCCCACTCCAGGCCTTTGGCATGTGTCCTTTTTGCAGGAAGAGAATCCAGCTAACCACGAACCTGACAAAAAACGTCTAATACCTGGCCTGCCTCTCCCAGTTCCTAATCCACTGCCTGCAATAGTAGGAGCGTTGACACCTGCTCCACCGTCTCCCTTTCAGTTCTTGTCCGAAATCAACCCTCTGTACTTCCTTGCACTCATTCCACTCTTGATCTTCTTCCTGTGGCTGCTCTGGTGCCTCTCACGGTCATGCTGCAGGAAGGTGAGTGACTTCTGCCCATGCAGCCCCAAGGGATCCTGCTCAATGATTCTGCCTGTGGGCAGGTTCCCATTAGATAAGAGATCATCTAATGAGAAGAAAGATATACAGACACTGTCCTCTATTCCAAGGCTCAGACACAGCCTGAACTTCTAAAGGAACTCCTGCCTAGTGCTTGCCTGAGGGAGGTGGCCTATGAGCTGCCCTGGCCTATGTGGAGAAGAGAACCCAGGCACCCTGAAAATAGGGCTGTTTCACAGCCCTAGAAGACATAGGTGGACATAATCCTGGAAGAGGCCCCTGCTGGTGAGGGAAGAAATCCCACAGGAGATACAAATGGCCCCAAAGATAGAATAATGCTGACCAGGAGGAGTCACAGTATCTGGGGGCAGCTGTGCCTTTGAAAATCAACATAGGTCTAGTGCCTTCTGCCATTTCTTCTCCAGCCATTACTAAGCACCAGAATGAACTGAGCCCTATACTGGGCACGGAGGGGCAGAAATGAAGTGGCCACCATCATTGCACACAGGAGCTCAAAGTGTGGTATCTACTCTGTTATTGGTACTGGGGGAATATTGAGGGTAAAATGTCAACTTCATAGGGTGTGAGAAGTGCCCTATGTAACCAGAGTAACAGCAAATGACAGAGACTGGCCCCAGTGAGGGATCGAGGCAGAGGCACTGGTTACCTGGGTTTGTAAGGACACAGGAAAGAGATCTGGATGAAGAAAGAGAAAAAGTAGAAATTTGAAACAACCAAGTAAACTAGCAAGATGCAGGATGATCAAATTTCTACAAATGGGGGAGAAGGAAAGAGAGAAAACCCATGGGTCATGGAAACTGTCATACCTGAGGGCTGGGAGGCCAGAGAGGGCCGCATGGGGATTGAGATGAAAGGGGAGAGAGAAAGGGGAGTGGGCCCCATGCGGTGTCTTCATATAATGGTGAGCAGCTGAGGAAAACTACCATATGTGGCACCTCTACCAGGGACCAGACTCCTTAGTCTAGCTGTCTCCCTGTCAACCCCACAGGGTTTTTCCGATTCCCCTTTGTTAACTGAGGGAGGCCTGCTGCTCATGGTGGTGAAACATGTTGGCCACCCAAGCAATGGGCACTCAGTTTGACACCGTGAAACTCAAGTCTTTCCTGCTCAACACCCTTTCAACTGTGTTTATGTCTCTTTAACATTCTAGACCATCAAAGAGCCAGTGCAGAAATTAGTAAATGCAAGTTATGGTTTACTCTGATGTTGTCAACAAAACTGATGTGCACACCAACCTTGACAATTAGGCCACCTATAGCCTGTGGTGGCCTAATCCCTCCCCACACCACTAGGTCACCTACAGGGGCAGAGAGCACTGGGAGAAAGAAGAGGGATTACTGTGGCAGGAAGGGCCCCAAAGAGGATGTAGGACTCAAAAAATTACACCCAGACAACACTCTCCCCATGCTCCCAACACAGCCTCATCTAGGGCCTTTGTCACTGCATTAGCAGTTTGAGGGAGACTATTTCAGCAATTGCTATGATCCCTACTGAAAGAAAAGGTGCTTTATTGTCAATTCCCAAAGGACTGTTTATAAGATGGACCTTGACCAGGAGCTGAGCTTTTGGAAAAGGAGCCTCAGGTCAGGATCCTGGTCTTCCCTCCAGGCTCTGGTGTATATTCGGCTCCAACTCCTTGGTGTTCTTCTTGTCTCCTGCCAGGGCAAAGGGCTTGATTGGGAGTAGCCTATAGGGACTGCAGGACTGAGGAGGGTGGACAGAGTGTAATCTGGCACTGAGCTGTGAGGGAGGCCCAGACCAGGCGAGCACAGGGACCAAGGATCAAGTGAGCATGTTTTGGTTCACCCAGGGTGGGGGCCCAAACTAGAGCCCATGAGAATGGTCATACCTGGGGCACAGTGTCCCAGAAACAGGGAGAACCTAGCCCTGTGATCTGGTGAGAAACAGTCCTCAGATCCCAGGCCCATGTCTCAGAAGGTTTCTGTGCTGGTTGTAGTGTGGCCTGGGGAGGCTGGATCTGCCAGAGTCAGATGAATATAGCCCCGTCATCTGCTAATGCTCACACCCCTCCATTATATCAAACAGCCCAAGACCAGGCTTCCCCAACAAGGTTGGGCTCAGGTAAACCAAGAGGACAGGAAAGAATTTGCTGGCCTTCCTTGATAGAGCCATATTTGCAAACTGAAAAGAGTTTGTTTGTGTTTCCCATGGAGGGCACTCTGTTACGGTGCAGGGTGCTACTCATTTTTCCTTTACTTCTCCAACAAACATGTGCTGAGTGGCTAAAAACTGCCAGGTGTAGGGGCAACAGATGGCATGTGTTGTACTCAGCAGCTGCCAGACAAGGAAGAAGACAGTGTTTTCTCTTTCTAGGCTCCAGAGACATGTTCCTTACCTGCAGTGATTGTCCCTTGTTCTGGGTGCCACGTAGGCGGGATAAGAAGGATGGAGGTGAGAAGGATACTTTAAGAGGAAGCTGTGACACCAGGCTTCCTCTTAAATATGGGGGCAGGGGGAGGGACTACTGATTCATGCCACACAGACCTGGGCTCCAAAGGCATGGCTTGTATGAGATAAGCTTTATGGTCAATGGACTTTGAGCACTTGGGTCCCCACCCCAGAGTCTCCCCCTTGGAACAGTTCCAGGTTTAGTGTTTAGAGAGAGAGACAGACAGACAGATGAAAGACAGACAGAGACAGAGAGAGACAGAGAGACAGAGAGAGAGACAAAGAGAGAGACAGAGAGAGAGGAGAGGAGAGGAGAGGAGAGGAGAGGAGAGAAGAGGAGGAAGAAGAATAAAAGAAAAAAGTTCTGAGCCAAGTCTTATTCATCATTAAAACTACCTAGAAATGCCTATAGGACCTGCTCTCCTTACAGAATTCCCCTCAGGAGAGTAAGGCAAAGAGCTCACTACATTGTCCTTGTGGCCCTCTGAGATGAAGCAACAAGAGCTGCATGGTAGAGGGGTCCTGAAAAAAATGTTCTTTCTCCTGGTGAGGGAGAATTGAGCCTGATGGGGAGCATGAGGTGAAAGGGATAGAAAGGGGGACCTAATAATCAGTTTGAGGAAGAACGAATACCACAATCTCTGCCCAGCTTTGCCCTCTCTTCCCCTGGTCCTGCCTTTGTCTTTGGTCAGATCCATTGTTTCCTCTTCTGGCTTCAGATGGCAGCTGGAGAGCCAGCCCTGCCTAGCCCTAACAGTCAGTATGTAGGCACAGAAAAGCCAAAACACGCCTTCCAGAGAAGGTGGAAGCTGCTTGCCAGGGACTTGTATCTGTTCACAGGCCCAGGGGGTCTAAACAGCAGAGTCCTGCAGCCATGATGCCCCTACCACTAGGTCCAGGGCCAATTTCTGTTCTTTTTTTTTTCCATTCTCTTTTACACAACTCACCCCACCCCTGTATCAGGAACATGCCCCTGACCAGAGTATGAGTCCTTTTTCCTCCCTACTCCTCATGTGCCTCACAAGTCTAGAGGCCCTCTTACCTCCTCTTTGAGCACATGCCTACATCCCCCAGTCCCATGAATGTTACCCTTTCAGGACTTCTCCTTAGCTCTCATATATATCCTCCAACCTTTCAACTTTTTCTCTAAAAGTAGCTCCAGACTTTTCCTCCTATACCAAAATACTGATCTGTTCCAGATCCCAAACAGTTTGTGACACAAAGTGACTACCTCTTTCCCAAACACACAAGTTGCTTGGCCCCTGCCCCAGGTCCAGGTGGCAGTGATGTCTTAGTGAGTTCCTGAGGACAGGGCCCTCAGGAGCTGTCCATGAACCAGAGAAGACTACTCTCTGGAGGCAGTGTTCATGCCTAGAACTTCCTTGCAGCCATATTTGCTTTTTCAGGGCAAACTGGATACCTTGTGTGACTTTGTTCAAGGCTGCGACCAGGTGCCATTGATGTGTTGTAAGCCCAAAAACAAGGTAAGCATGAACACAGTGATCCTTCCTATGGGCTAGAGGTCTTGCTTTTTGCAAAGGGTCTTGAGATTGTGGATCAGAGAGCCCTGTCTGAACATCTGTGAAGGAGGATACTCAATACATGGAGTAATGGAGCTCAGGAACCTCCCAGGCCAATGCTGGATACAGTACCCATGCATTTCCCTCACATGTGTTCTCAAGAGTGTCAGAAAACTTATTTAGAGCATTACCCGACACTTCCCAATTTAAGTAAAGAGGGCTGGAGAGGAAAGGAGGCCAGCAAGTTCTATTGGGTTACCAGTCCATTGTCTCTCCCCACTGATCACCTGACCCTTTGGGTCTGCTGGCCTCACACCATCCACTGAGCCTCTCCTCAGCTGGTCATTCAGGGCCATGAGTGGTGGCAGACATGTGAAAACGCTGCCCCAAGGTTGTATGACAAATACAACCTGTGACTTGGGGAGAAGCAAATTGTTACAATTGTCCTTCTTGGAATTTAATCATAATAATGGCTAATTTTCATTAAGTCTTTCCCATGGGCCAGCTACTAGCCTAGGAACTTTACATGTTTTCACTCTTTTACTCTTTCCACTAACAGTGTAAGTAGGTACTACTATTTACCCTAGTTTTACCAAGGGAAAAACTGAAGCACAGAGAAGCTCAGTGACTTGTCCCAGGTCACAAAGGCTGAGAGTGGCAGAGCTGGCTTTGTTACCAGAGTTCACCCTTCACACTGCCCTGCCCCATTTGGGGTCAGCACTTCTGATCTCTTGATGGCTAGTAACCCCCAAATCACTGGAAGTCTGCCCTACTCAGGCCCCAGGGCCCAAGAAGAGTGGTGCTCCTGCCTCACCTGAAAATCATCTGCCTGGGCTATTCCATGCCAACCTTCTGCACAGACTGGGGCAGGGAGCCTGGAGGATGTTGTCATCTCAAAGTCTGTAATGAGGGCTGTGTTGGCCATATTCAGGGAACACTGGCTCTCAGTGGATGGGCAGGTGAGCATTTACAAGCTCTGTGCTGCATCATTTCTTCCCACACCAAGAAGCTCTCAATGCTGCAGCCCTCACAGCCTGTTACCAATCCAAGGGTGCCCCAGCTGCCCTTGCCCTGGGCTTTGGAGCCAGGCCTAAGGGCTGTGGAGAAAGGTCATCCCTTCAACGCACTCTCACCTAGAAAGACTGGCAGTACTGGGGCTATGAGGGCAGTCAGACTTCGTCTTTTCTTTCCAGGCTCCCAATCTAGGTGGGAGCAGACAAGCTCCACATCACAACAGAGTCTAGAGCCAGGACACTGGGGCTGCCTCAGGAAGGCAGGGCAGAGGTCCGACACCTGAATCAAGTCTTCAAGAAGGAGCCCAGGATGGAGGCCAGCACCCAGGGAGAGAAAAGGCATCACAAGGCCTACCCTGTGGTCCTGATGGGTCTTGACCCTGACTTCCTTGATTCAAGGAAACCACTGCTTAATGGTTTCAATTCCAATGGCTTCTCAGTGACATCTCTCTTATCTTCCCTACAGAGAAAGTGCCAAAAGCTCTGCTTCAGACCCAGCCAGAAGTACTACCCCCTCAACAGCTATTGCACTTGGTGCCATCAGCCCCCACCCATATGCTCTCAGCCTACCTTCAGGATGCTGCCACTGATCGCTTCCCCTGCCCGGGCACTCTGCAGAACTACCTTATCACTCCCACCCCCATAGCCCAAACTCTAAAGCACCAAAATCCCAAAACAAATAAGATACCTTTGTGTACTAATTGGTCATATATGTTGAATCATGGTTTAAAGTCAAAAGGAGTTGGATTTTGTTGCTGATTAGCATGAGAGATTGTTACCTGATGAGCATCACTCTCTGTATGAGATGTATCTATACTGCTCCTGCAGGACAAAGCACCCTGGTGTCCTGTGGCTATAGCCATGGATGATTCCCACTCCCCACAGCCTGGTCATCATTTCTCACCAAGGGCTGGGATACCTGGGTTTTCAGTCAAATTCTACTGTTTGAAAAAATCCCAAACTGTCTTTGAACTATTAATACAATCCTGTGTCTATCACTCACTGGCTGTTACTAAATCTCTTGGGAAATTTAATCTTATGATTCAGTTTCCTCATTAAAAAGTTGAGGACAATGGGACAATGGTGTCTCCTATACAGGTGACTGTGAGACTGATGGTATGTGCTGCAATGTGCTCAGATCAGGGCCAAGACCCTGGTAAAGACTCAGGTGCCAGTAGCTAATGTCATCTTGCCTTGTCCCAGCGGAGGAGGGGAATATGAGTTCAGAGACATCAAAAAGTAGTTGGAGAGCTCAGGGCTGTCAGAGTAGAGACCATGCCTGGGCCATTTACCTCTGCAAACCACGGTGTTGGCACACATGAGCTTTCTCAGGAAGGTGGCTGCCAACCACACATGGGTTCATCCCAGGCTCAACACCCACATAACCTCCAAGAAACCAACAGAAAAGGTTCTGGTACCTTCTTCAGAAAGGTTAATTCTACTTCATGCCCTTAATATTTCTCATGATATGGAGGAAACTCATGGCATCCACTTTCCTGAGTTAAAATCTCTTCCTCCTCTGGCAAAGCTGGACCACCCAATTATTCAGATTCCTTCTCATTGAGTCTTTGTCAGCTTGATTGAGTTTTCCTTCCACACTAACATACTTGAGGACTATCATGGACCAGACTTCATTTTGAAAATTTCATTGTCTTCAATATGCTGAGGAGCCTGACCCATCTGTTTTTCCATGAGTGGCCCTTGTTACCCTCAATCCTCTACTCCTATTTATTTCTCCCACCTAATTGTCCTCCTTATGCCCCAGGAAGCTGAGCCATGTGAACAAGTCAGAGCCTCTCAATGCCTACTCTCACCTGCCTCTAGTACCTGCTCTTTCTATCAGGGTCCCATACCTTCCTGCTCCTTCCAACCTACGGACTGGGCATATGCCAGCTGGGAGAATAAGGTTGAGCTTGAATTTAGGGAGAAAGAGTGGAGGTTGGAAATTGGGAGGAGGGTGGTCAGTCTATGCTAAAAACGATACAAAACCATTATATTATTTGGGCTGTCATAACAAAATAGTACAGTTTGGGTGGCTTTGGAGACAAAAAAAAATGTATCTTCCTACAATTCTGGAGGCTCAAAGTTCAAAATCAAGATGTCTCCAGATTTTTTTTTTCTGATCCCTCTCCTTGGCTTGTAGGTGATCATCTTCTCCCTGTGTCTTCATATGGATGGTCTTCCCTCTGTGTGTATCTGTGTCCTAATTTCCTCTTTTTATAAGCACACCAATCATATTGAATTAAGGCCTACTCTAATGTCCTCATTTAACTTAATTACCTCCATAAAGACCCTATCTCCAAATAGTCACATTCTGATGTACTCGGGATTACAGCTTCAACAGATAGATTTGAGGAGGACTCAAATTGACCCCATAATAGCCATTTATCAACTGACACCATCAGGAGACCCTCTTTAAGTGATGCATTCTGGGGACAGTGGAGTTTTGTAAAAATATTCCTACAAGCTTTGGAGACAAAAAGTCCACAGCTCCTGTTCAACTCCATCTCCATTATTACAGACAACTTCGGTGACCACAAGAAGGTCACCCTCATCTGTATAGAGACCACAACTATGTGAAGATTGAATATTCTGATGTAGCCTCACAGTCTCTCTCTCTCTCTCTCTCTCTCTCTCTCTCTCTCTCTCTCTCACACACACACACACACACACACACACACACACACACACTGAGTCAGTACACACACACACACACACACACACACACACAATGTGGTGCTTTGAAGAGGCAGCTCCTGCAAGATGAATTCCTGGGAATTTGAGGCAATGCTGGGTCAAGGCCCAATTATTCAGGTCAGGCTGCAAAATCAGGAGGAGACCTTGAAGACTCATTATCTCCTTTGGAAAGTGAACTGAGAAAAAGCATGTCACAGCCCCATGCTCATAATCCTTATGGAGGTTCTGGGGTTACAACAATCCAGAATGCCCAGGATTGTATCCCATCAGCTCAAAGGTAACCTTGGATTCTCAAACCCAAAGATGTAACTCCTTGTCCTTGGAAATCCTAAACCTTTATTTCTTATTTCCCTGCTGCCCATGGGTGGTAGGTGTCCGGGGGAAGTAAAGTATGACTCAGCAGATGGCTAGCCATGGAGATATTCCTCACGGAGTTAGGAGGCCGTTAAGGAGAGGGAAGCCAGGGGAAGGAGCAGTCTCAGAGATGGGCTGGGGCTATCTCAGCAGAAGCCAAACCCAGGAGTCCAGGTGGTAGAAAGCACGGGGGCTGGTGGGCACCTCCTGCAGTGTGCCACCAGAGGCCTTCCCTCCTTATAGTCTCATTTAATGACCTCATTTAGTTTAGTTAGGTGTCCAGGTGCCTCCTTGAGGACAAGGATGATGATGACCAGGAGGCCAGTATGATGTAATTAATTGTTCCAGGATATGGCACTCAGAGCTTATATTTTTAAAAAATCCATTTTAAAACATCAGTGTTAGGGTTATGGAAAAAAATATGATCAAGACTTCTGTTTCACCACTTAGTTGATTGCACATCCATTACTTGTCAGCTTCTATCATGTTATCAATGGTGAGAGCTATTTTACCCTCTCTGCAGTTTTGAGATATATTTTTTAAGCCTGAAGAAATGAGAGGGAGTTGGGGAGGACCCTGCACTGCCCTAAGCTCTCAGCACACACTTTTCCAACCTTCAGGCCTCCTACCAAACACACAGCCACCTTTTTCAAACAGCAGACTCGTAGCTAGGGTGGCCAGGCCTTTGCCAGAGCTCAGTGTTCCCAAGTGTATGGACCCTACACACTGTCAGGAATCCATGGAAGAGCACTGCCACTCTGTTCCACCACCCTTTTCCCTTCTCCGCATGATTATCCATCTACTCTTCATTCATACAGACTTTGAGCACTTGGTTGACACTACCCTATACCCAAAGCCTGTTATTATCCCAGAAAACCTTGACATCCATGGAATGATGACTTATCTTACACAATGATCCTTTAATCCTTGTCCTCCAACTTCCTACACTGCAAGCCACCTCCCTACCCCCGACCATACCCTGAGCCATTTTATCCCTAACCACACAATTCACCAATCTCTCTCTCATCAACGCTATGGATACTTCCAGTTTATTGACTTTATTATGCCTACCCTGTTATATTTAACCTCATTGGACTTCCAATCCATGACATCTCCATTTTCTCTCAAACTCAGGCCTCAGGGCCCAGCACTTAGATCAATCTCATTCCAATACACTACATTTCTGTGGCCCCTTTTTTGTATAAAATGCTCAGGGTAAAACTTCCAACTCAAATGGATGAAACCAATTGTTTACCTTTTCTGTGCATGTCCTGGGATACTACTAAACACTACTTGTGGAAAATATGCATCTTTGTCAGGTTGACAACCTCATAAGTTAATACCCATCAAGCTCAACTAGAGCCTCAATGCCAAGCACAACTTTTAAACAAAGTTCAGCTAAAAACAAGAAGAGCCATTTCTAAATGCCAGAAATTAAAAAATTAAAAGAGAGAAAGAGAAAATGAAGTCAAATCAAGTCAAGACAATGAAGACATGAGAACAAGGTTTATGTCTAAAGGGCTAAGACTCTCCTACCAGGTAAGATTAAGTGAGGCCTCAGCCTCTGACCTATAGAAAGTTAGAATATGCTCTCTTAAGCCAGGAGCTGCAGAGGGCAACAGCCTCTATAAAACAGGACTAGAAATCTCATCCTCAGCCCCAAACACATGACAGAAAAGGGTCATAGAAAAGCAAATCAGGGCCCAAGTCTTCAGTGAGTAGGCATGGAAAATCTCAGCTAAGAAGCTAGCATTGGAGTCCATCTAAATCTGATAGATGCAGGTTTTTGCAAAACCAAACATGAAACTCTCCTTCTGGAGATGCCTTCCTAATCCACGGTACTTGAGAGTTCATCAAAAACATTTCTTGCCAAAGATGAGCTCAAAGGAAAAAAATCTTAGGTATCTAACCAAAGAGAGCCAGCAGGTACAAGAAACGGACCCAGTGCCCAGAAAGTAGAATTAATAGAGCGATCTAAAAGGGAGTGTATAAAATATTCAAACAAGATAAAAAGAAGAAATACAAACTATAAGACAAGAACAGTTAATTATGAAAAAGAGTTTAAAAGGAATCAAAGCAAAGTTCTAAAGGAGCATTAAATTAGCAATTAACTGACTAGACATAGTTGTAGAGAAAAAAATGGAATTATTCAAGAGATAGATCTACAGATATTATCCCTGCCACAGCACAAAGATAACTGAGATGAAAACCAGGAAAGGGAAATTAATAAACAAGAGAAGAATGAGAAGCTACAAACATGGACTCTCATTCTCCCATTCTCAGTGATCAAAGGATAAAACAATGGCACTGGAATTCAAACACATAAATGAATAAAGCCATGGCTGCTGACTCTCCAGGCCAGAGAGCCTACTGGGTGGTCTGCTGCAGGAGAGAGTCAGTAGACTCTATAGAAAGTTCTGGAAGGGCTGGTAGGGCTGATCAAGGATGGAGAACTAGCCCTACAGATTGAACAAAACAAGTTCCTGGGTCTGCACACACTTAGTTAAAAAAAAAGTCCCATGTTCATGGACCAAGGGGTCTTTACTCAGGCCTGGTGCATCAGGTTAACTCAGAGTCTATGATCAATATTCAAGTTTAATATCTGGCTATTAAAAACTGTGACCAACCTCTGACCTCACTTCTTCATTCCACACTCAGAATATGATTTTACCTCTTGCAAAACAGACACAAATTACCTCAGAATATGAGGAAAGCATGCCTTCTCTTTACTGACATGCCCACATTCTCTACCCCATTTCTTTAAATATCATGACAAAAGGGGTTTGACTTTTGATTTTGGTTTTCTAACTAACATCAAAATTTCTAATTGTGCTCTGACTTCCATCTCCCACCCACTTCTCATCAGTCTTTAGAAGGTGTTACTGTTCTGTTCCTCTTCTGTATCTTCAAACTCTTCTTCTCTACCACTCCAAGAGCATTTAAACATGTCCAATCCCCTCCTCCCTTAAAAACAACTTCCTTGGCCCCTTCCAGATATAGGCCACTCTCCTACCCAACCCCCTCCCAAGTTTCTTTCATCCTGAGTGCACTGCTCCATGTCACCCCCCTGCTATCTAGTACCCTTCCTGCCACAACCCTGAAATTGCCCTCCCCAGGGTAATTGCCTGTCAAAAACCTATTGGCTGCTTAGAGTTCTTCACCTGTGGTCTGCTCAGCAGCATTTGACAACAGAACCACCACTGTCTCCTAAAATACTCTGTTCTTTGCCCTTCTCATCACAGTCCATTCACCCTGTTCCCTAGGTATATCTTCATTTTCCACCTTGATCCCCTTCTCTTCTCACTCTGTAGTAATCATCCACGTCCATGTCTTAACTACCACTCTATTATAACAGAGTGAGATGCTTGTCTTCTTACTCCATTTTGCTCGTCTGCTTTGTTCTCATGGTCTTTAGGCTAATAGCTTCTACTTAGTATTGCATATAGACATGTTAATCATTAGAGGAATTCTGCTTGCAACTTGAGTTTTACAAAACAGCTCCCTAATAGAAAGTGCCTCTCCCAAGGAGATAAGAGAAGTATGTATTGGTTATCAGAGATTTACAGGAACCTCTTGACTGGACTCATATCCACTAGCACAATCTTCCTCAGATCCCTGCTGGCACCCAGATGTCAACAATGGTCAGTCACCGCTTGCCCCTCCCATTTCACCTTCCCTTGACATAAAAGAAGCCCAAACTCTGTATTTTGGTAAGATGGATTTGAAGTACCACTAGGTCACCCATCTATCTTCTTGACTGGTGCCTTCTTGATCAGTAAACATTTCCTTACTCCAAACTCTGATGATTTGAGTTTTGGCCTTTCAAAGTATCAGGTATATTGACTTTGGACTGGTAACAGTAAGATGATGCCACCAAGACCCCTCACCAACACTCTTAACCAACAGTATGATGATGCCACCAAGCTCCACACCAACCCTCCTCCTGAGTTCCAGAGCTTCTTTCTAATTGATTCTTTCCAATTAACAGCCCCACTTAGATGTGGTCTTAGGTTCAGTTAGCCAGAAGCAGGGCCTGAAATGAGAATATGTTTCCAATGGTTTCCTCGGGCAGTGTGCCCAGGAGGTCAGGGAAGGAGTAAGGGGGAAAGGACAGGGAAGAAGGACTCTCACCTAAAAATGACCTGGGGGGCGGGAGTCCTAAGGGCCCACTTGCCCTGAGGTGGGAGAGCTAGGCTATTCTAGGTTGGCACTCTCAGTCTTTGAATTGGACAGTTGGGTGATAGAGACTCTGGGCTCCCATATCTCAAGAGCAGTCTTCCAAAGAAGGTGCAGGGCCAGCTGTTTAGGGGATGGAGGGAATAAGAACCGAGCAGAGTGCAAATGCTAAACAGCAAGCCTGTCTCAGAACATGGCTCCATCTATGTTGTTGCTAAAGTAAAAGCAGACATGACCCCAAACCCCTCTCTCCTCACACCCACATCCTGTGTATGGGGAGGGCTAAACACAGAAAAGATGGCACCCTCTTTCTGGCTGCGCAAGAAGAGGGCTCAACTCAGGGACAATGGTGGCTATCCCTCCAGCCCTCACCCTGAAGCCACACAACTCAATATCTCCCCATATGTCTCCGGTGCCTTCCAAGTCACCGTCCCTCCATCGGAGCCCAGTGTGAATGCCTGAGAGTGAGAGTGCCTGTGAGTGGGCTCTTTAAGAGAATGCCTGGGTTTTCAGCAGCCTTCAGTCTCACTCAGATGGACAGAATCCCCATGGTTTTTCATAGCCAGATGTTGTGGGGGGAGGGGTTCTCTTCCTGGCACTGGTGCCCCAGGCTGGGGACCCCAGTGTGAGACTGGAATTCCTTGCTCCTCTGCAGCTAAGATATCGTTCTTGATTCTCAACTGCCACACGCAGGTTTGGGACCAGCCAGTTTCAAATTTCCACCCTTCCTACCAGTTTCTATGTGACTTCTTCTTTATATCCTTAGTTATGGGATTTCTGTTCAACTAGTTTTCAGATGGTTCTCCAGGTTAATTGTTCTATAATTTATTTGCAATTTTAACGTAGTCATAAAAAGAGATAAGCACAGCATTTACCTACTCTACCATCTTGACTGGACTCCTCTAAAGATAACATTGGATGTTCTTAGGCTGACACCAAGATAGAGTAGCTGCAGGATAGTCCCTGAAACATGGTGTTTACCCTGAAGGGAAGATTATGGGGGAGTATGGGGAGAGTGGTGCTGTGAGACATTCTAGTCTGGGACCCAGGAAGGGCAAAGTCCAGAGAGGAAATAATAAAGTTTTTCCCAAAGATTCATCCTTCCTTCTATAACCAGTTTGCCTGCAGGGCCCAGGACAGAGAAGGTGCTGAAAAGTCAGAGAGGCCTAGTGGATCAGATCACAAGTCTGCTTCTTACAAGAAGTATGATTTGAGCAAGTTATCCAAACACCTAGATCCTCCAATTTTTACTATAGTACATGGAACTCTTACCTGCTTCTTAGGGTTGTGGTAAAGATTTAAGGGGACAGAGAGCACAGAGTGATTAAAAAGGTATAGCAGCCCCCAATAAGTGGAGGCTGCTATTGCTTTATATGCTTTGGTAAACTCTTCATTGCATTGTTAATTGTGTAGAAACTATGCAATAAATGAAAGAGATATGTGGTATCATTCTTTTTTTATATAGATCATGTCTAGTGAAGACTGTATGAAACTATAACCATGTGTACTGAATGGGGCTTTCAAAGACTGAAACAGAATTTCCACACTGCATAATAGCCACAGCCCAAATATTTGGCAGTGAGTAATGTATTCCACAGAGCATGTCCAGGCAGTGCCTGGGTGGGGCTTGGGAACTACAGAATCCAGAACCAAGCAGAGCCTAGAAGGGAGGGGAGGGGCAGGAGTGGCCTTGGGTGGGGCCTGCTTGTATAACCACACTCAAACCTGCCTGCTCATCTGGATGCAGCTGAGATTCTAGGTGTGCAGAGCCTCCAAGTGGAAGGAGTGCTAACCCGTGTATCTTCATCTTCTTGGGGATAGGAGGCCGTGAGGTGACCGAGATGGCCTGGTGGAAAGCCTGGGTAAGTACAGAGCAAGGAAAATTAGAGAGTTTCTACACAGTGTTGAAGGGAGGGGAAGGGGGTCAATTCAGTCAACACTTGCTGCTGCCTGCCAGGCCAAGCACTGGGCTGCCCACTGGGGAAGAAGACAAGAAGAAACTGCCCCATCTTAGAGGTGCTCATACCAGGGACAGAAGCAGAGGAGATAGGCATATGAGGGAAACTTTTAATGCACTGGGGGTAGCTAAGGATCTGGGGAAGTTCAGAGGAGGAGCCTCTGTGGGGAGGAATCAAGCTGCTCAAAACTATGAGGTATCATGGTTGAGCCATATATGTGTGTGTGTGTGGTATGTGTACACATGCATGTGTTTGGGAAGAATCAAAGAGTTGGTTCCTTGCAAAGGCTAGAGTATATGCAAAGGCCCAGAAGGGTGGGAAACTTGGCTTTAGAGGGAAATAGCTCAACCTGGCCTAAAAGCCCTGGGTGGGAGGGTACAGGGTACGAGAAGATGTACCTAGAGAAGCAGGCAGGACTTGGTCAGGAGGGCCTTATGTGGCAAGCTAAGAGCAAGGGTTTTACCTTAAGAATGATGGGGAACACTGGAAGAACCTTCAGCTGGAAAGTAACCTAATTTAATAGGCTCATGTTGGAGAGCTCATCAACACCCACTCCTCGGGGCCTGGGAGGAAGGTGTGGCCTACAAGGAGCAATAGTGTTTATTTGTCAAAACTGAGGACGGAGAAGAGGGAGTAGGAGGACCTGGCCTCCAAGGGTCTTGCATGGCTGAAATCCATGCTTTATAAGAGTGACCGAGATCAGAAGTGGGGATTACAGCACAACCTGTCCCCAAGTCACCCATGTTCCCGCTAATTTAACAGATTTCCAGTAGTGTGTAATCCAGGTTTGAGTCCAAGACAATCTTGTGCTAAATCTTGTGCTAATCTTGAAAATACAAAAGCGAGACAAAGTCAACTAGCAGATGATATCACCTAAGCAGGCATGATGCTGCATGCTCTGCATACCTTTCCTTCATTTTGTCCCAGAACAGTCTGAGATGTGAGAGCTGCTCTTTCCATTGTACAGATAAGGAAACTGAGGCTCAGAGACATTGAATGGCTTGTTAAGACCCACAGTTAGTAAGGGGTGCTAACTGTGGTAGAGGGGCTAGCTCAAATTTGTATCTTTCCACCTCCGACCGCAGGGTCTCTATGAGCCTTAGTGAATGACCCAGGCTTATTCTACTTCAGGAAATCTCTTTGTTCCAAATATCACAACCCAGGGGCCCTCAGGTCCCAACATACTGGGACTCGACAGGTGGAACAGAAAACAATAGTTTAAGTTAGGGCAACTCTCTGGCCCTGAGTAAAGCAGCCAAGACAAGTCAATGGGCCAGGGAGGCCTCCAGTTTTGTCTTGGGTGGTGGGAACAAACCTTTGAGGAGGCAGATGTGTCAGGGAAAGCTCAGTGCTGGGCACTTTCCAAAGTCAGCTGCTGGCCAAGGTGACCCGAATCTGGGCCTTGCTCCCAGTGGGACAGGGGCATAAGCCCATCCTTGGGGCTCCACCCAGCCAGGCAGGCATAAGCCTCCTTGTAGGCACCTGGCCAACTTGATAGGAAAATGATGACATTCACTGAGCAACTATTGTGTGCCAGACATTCCTCTAAGCACCCCACATTCAATATCTCACTTGAGCCTCGTGCCACCTCTACAATGTAGATGATGGTTACCTTATCCAGAGATGAGGAAAATAAGGAACCAAGAAGCTAAGCATCCGCTTAGCCTCACTAGTAAGTGAGTTTGCCACACTTGTAAGTGTTAGAGTCTGGGTTAGAATCTGAGCAGTCTCACTCTGGAGCCCAAAATCTGTGGGCCTTGGCCACCTACAAGATATTTGGGAGAACTGGCTTGTGACAGTGAGATCGCAAATAGACCCTACCTGTGACTGGCTGAGCTGCCCGTGAGGACCAAGTGTCCCCTGGACACCAAGCTATACAAGAACCAGGACCTGAGAGAGATGAAAGATCAACTGGGGGCTCATTTCTGCCTCCCTTGTAGAGATGAATTTTTGTCTCCCAGGTCTCTGGGGCAGCCTATTGATGGGAGAAGGTAAAGGTATGGCAGCTCCCCTGTGATCACCACAAAATTTGTTATAGTAGAGTCACACAGCCTGGACTAGTAACATTCTTAGTGAAAATATTCCTGTCTGGACCTGCCTACTCCAGACAAGACCCAGCAGGAGCCTAGGCAGATCCTCCTTCAAACAGTGGGAGGCCTTAAGTAGATCTGGAGCTCTACCACTCCATGCTGATATCTAAGGGTCTGATTCCCAGAAAATTGTCCTTTTTCCCCCTAAAATCATGAAATGGGAAATGAGGCTGATGCTTCTCAATGCAGTGAAATCACAACCCCCTAGCGAGTTGTTTACAATCACTACCATGTAACCCAACTTCAGACCTGCTGAATAGGCTGCTCCACTGTGATACATGCCTGTTCAGTCATTGCTGCACAACCCCTTGAGTCCCAGCTTCAGGGCAAAGGAAAGCCCCTCCTGGATGACCGCCAGAGCTCAGTACTGAAACCAGAGATGGCTTCCATGCTCCCAGACGACCTGCATTCCTGTGGGAGGGGCTTCATTTAGTGAAAAGTTTCAAAAGAACTCATTGTCTGCAAAAGGTTGAGTCATCAACAGAGTGTGAGAGGTAAACAGCTAAGCTTCTGAGTCAGGCTGTGGGTTAAGTCCTGGTACCACCACTAACTAGCTGCGTAAGCTTGACAAGCTCTCTGAGCCCAGCTTTCTAGCCTGTTAAATAGGGTATTTGTACTTACCTAGTGCAACTATCAAGAGAAGTCAAGAAGAAGAGCACTACATCTATAGCACCTAAATCATCTAACACATAGGACCTGGAACATGGAAAGTGTTCAAATCCTTAACAGTAGTAACAGCAGCTGATGACTCCACAAACAAGGGATATAATGTATGCATGCACACAGTTGGGGAACATCTGGGACTGTGTAGCCTCTCTGGATGGAATTTCCACAAAGAATTATTTCTAACAATTTCTGCTATAAAATATGATGCTAAGAAATAAGATGAGAAAATCTGTCACCAGACATTTGAAATTCAAGCAAAGGACATGGAAAGACTTCTTACTTCTTATTCAAAAGAAATATCCATATATATATAAAAATA